GGTAAATTTAAAATACCGACATCAATATAAAAAACAGACACGCTTGCAGTGACACAACAAGCGTTAGTTCATCTTCGAGGTTCATGTTTTGGGGAACATGTGCCCGGTACCTGACTGTTATCATATTATCTTTTTTTTTCAATCATTAACGTGAGGGACTAAATGATACTTTTTACGTTTCTGGTACACGTTTTCAAGGCACTTTCAACACTATTAATGTTTCTTATAAGGGCCTGTAAAAAAGGGAAATGTTTTCCACGTTATCGAATTCAAAGACAACTGATTTACGACCACAAAAACCAACAAATAAAAAAATCAAACGTTGAGATGTAAATCTTACTGTGTTGACGGGATTCTCGCTTTCTGCGTATGCATATATAAAAAAAGCGCTTGAGCTTGCGTAATATCGCCCTGGATAGTTTTACAACTCTGTTGGTCGCAAACTGGAATGTTAAGTATATTTTTTTAATGATATCATCATCATCCAGTGCCAGATCTGCGACAGACATCGGCGATCATGGTTCTCCATTCATTCCTTTGCTCTGATGCTCTCAAAAAAGCTACGTTTCCCTGATCTTTCCCTGTTGCCCATTTGTTTCGGTTCCCTAAGTATGTTCTTCTTTTAATGATATCCCCGCATAAAACCCCATCATCCTTTTCTCTCCTCCTTTATTTCTTGGTACGTTACTCTCTGGTAATAACTCTAATCTTCGGCTTACATAATTTGACCTATTTGTATTGCAAGTGCCGTAAACTCTCACTAAAACTTAATTAAACTAAAGGCCTGTGGTAAAACGTTCTTTGCCTAGGGCCAATATGCAAGAAAGCCGCCCGTACATGTATCAGCTTCTCCACTCGTCAAAGCACGCTGTGCTTCGTTAACCAACTGTTCAGATTTCAGATGCACCAAACCAAAATGTTCTATATCAGATTTAAACTTTTTTTTTAGGGGGAGGGGGGGAGTATAATGATTTAAAAATTGTTATTATTGCAGTTTTGCAGATATCTATGATATCTATGGTATTTGTTTCATGTCCTCGAGAAAGGTTTGCCGTTGAACAGCTTGACAACGCGATGCTTGCAGCCTCACTAAATGGGACTGCGTTGTTGTGCTGCTGCTGATGATGATGATATTGATGATGATGATGATGATGATGGTGATGATGATGATGATGATTCAATAATAATAA